ATGCATCTGCTGGGCTGCTTCAGGCTGGCTGCTGCAGAGAATGGGCTCAGCCCAGGGAATCATTTCAGAGAAAAACCCTTCCACAACTAGTGTGTCTCCTGGGCCAACACAGCTTCCATGTGCTCCAGAGATGGCTGAGGCAAGGTCTGGCTGTACCCTCAGGCTCTGGGATCTCCCTGCCTGGGGTTTGATGTGCAGCCCACCTGATGAGCTGCAGGAGCCTGGCCAGGACAGCAGCCCTGTCCCAGAGCTTGCACAGCAAGCCAGTTCTCCTTTCTTAGCCGCACCAAGGGAAGCGCCTGCCTGAAGCCTGGGACCTCCCCCAGCCTGTGGGACTGCCTCCCTGTGCTTTCTGTCCCTCAGGGATTAAGAGGATCCTGCCCCATCAGATGACGACGGCAGGGCCGGTGCTGGGGGAGGAGCGGCGCTCGGACGAGTTCTTTGACTCCCTGGATCACGTCATCGACATCCACGGGCACATCATCGGCATGGGCCTCTCCCCTGACCACCGGTGAGCACACAGGGCTCCAGCCACTGCCAGCGTGGGCAGGAGCTGCTCACGGGCTCTGTGGGGTGACCAGGACATGAAGTGGTGGATGGATTGGGTGCCTGCTGATCCAGGTGGTGATGGTGTGTTACTGCTGAGCTTCGCCCCCAGCCGAGGCAGGAATGTATTCCTGACCCAGCTCAGGACAGGGTGGCTCCTTCTGAGAGTGGAGGAACTGCCCACACCCATGTGTCTTGTTCCTGAGGTAGATCATCCATAGAATCCTAGGATGGTTTGTGTTGGAAAGTAGCTTAAAAACCATCTAATCCCCACCCCCTGCCATGGGCAGGGACACCTTCCACTATTCCAGGGTGCTCATGCTCCATCCACTTGGCCTTGAACACTTCAGGGATGGGGCAGCCACAGCTGCTCTGGGCAATCTGTGTCAGGGTCTTCAACCCTCATAGGGAACAATTTCTTCCCAATAGCCCATGTAACCCTGCCCTCTGGCAGTGGGAAGCCATTCCCTTTGTTTTGTCTCTCCATCCCAGCTCCCTCTCCAGCCCTTTTGGAGCCCCTTTAGGCTCTGGAAGGGGCTCTGAGGTATCTCTGGAGCCTTCTCTTCTCCAAGCTGAACACCCCCAGCTCTCCCAGGCTCCAGAGCAGAGAGGCTCCAGCCCTTGGAGCATCTCCCTGGCCTTCTCTGGAGTCCAACATCTCCACATCATTCTTGTGTTGAGTTCCCAGAGCTGGAGGCAGCTCTGCAGGTGGGGTCTCACCTGAATGGAGCAGGGGGGGCAGAGTCCCCCTAGACGTGCTGCCCAGAAGACAGCCCCATCATTAAAGATAGTTCCAGTGAGATTAGAGAGGTGTGACCTGAGCCCTGGCATCACCTTTCAGGCGCAGTGGTCCTTTCCAGACATGGCCAGGAGTGTTCCAGCAGCCCTTTCCCTGTTTCAGCCTGGGTTTCAGTGAGCTGGGCTGCAGGCTCCATCCCTGCTGTGCCAGGGGCTGTGTGAGCTGTGGTGCAGTGCAGGTAAGCCCTCTGTGCCCTCCCCAAGGTACCTGTATGTGAATAGCCGGGCCTGGCCGCGGGACTGCGTCATCTCGGACCCGATGCAGCCGCCTCCCATCGCGGAGGAGATCGACCTGCACGTGTTCGACCTGAAGACCATGAAGGAGGTGAAGCGAGCGCTGCGCGCACACCGCGCCTACACGCCCAACGAGGAGTGCTTCTTCATCTTCCTGGACGTCAGCAGGGACTTCGTAGCGAGGTGAGGGGGTGGGCAGGATCCTGACCCTGCATCTGGGAATGCCTGGGCATGTTGCTGTGGGATGGCCGTGTGAGCAAAACATGTTGTGTGTTGGAAGGAGAGCAGGGAGTGGGATTGGAAAGAGCAGAGGGACTGACTTGGAAAGTGCTGATAAAGGGTGGCTGCCCTGGTCCTGCTGTAAATACCCTGCCTTAAATCCCTGAGGAAAGGGTAAATCTGGGGCTGTGGTGTGTTTGGTGGCAGGTGGCAAATGCCCTTCTTGGGGCTGCAGGTGCTGTGGGCTGAGCTGAGGGGCCCTGGATCCCAGAGGGAGCTGCCTGCACAGGATGAAGCTCATGGAGACAGGGGCTTGGGTACCCTCTGCCCCCATCCCCACAGAACAGGAGTGGGAAGGGCAGAGTGTTGGGGCTGCTGGGCTGACACTGGGACCAGTGGGACACCCTGACCCCTGTCTCTCCACCCCAGTGGGGCAGAGGATCGACACGGCTACATCTGGGATCGGCACTACAACATCTGCCTGGCCAAGCTGCAGCATGACAATGTGGTGAACTCAGTGGCATTCAGCCCGGTGGAGCAGGAGCTGCTGCTGACAGCCAGTGATGACACCACCATCAAGGTGTGGCGCTCCCCACGGGCCATGCGCATCCGGCAGGCCAGGAGGCCCCGGCCTAGGAAACTGCTCTTCTCCTGGCTCTTGAACCAGAAAAGCTGAACCCAGGTACATCTGCTCCTGCAGCTTCCTCACTGCAGCACCTCCTTGTGAGCTCACAGAGCCCTGAGCCCTGCACAGAGATGAGCTCTAGGCACACAAATCCTACGGCTGAGCCAGGAGGGGCCCTGGCAGCAGGAATCGCCTCCTCCTTGAAGCATCGCCTTCAGACAGGACATAAGAGCTGGGGCCCTGGTGTGGTTCTGTTGGGCAGCAGCTGAGCTGGTCACTGCAGGGTGGGCTCCCACAGCTTCTCACCAGCATTGCTACTTGGGCATAGCTCTCTGGGTGAGCTCTGGGCACAGGGGACACTGAGGCACGTCCAGTGTAGGTCTGTGTGAGCTGGGGACGTGGCCAGACACGCTGGGAGCCGCCAGCTGCAGAGTGCTTGGCAGGAGCCATGGTGCAGCTGTGCTGCCTGACTGCAGGACTCAATATTGGCATTTTATTAATGTCTGTTTGTCCCAAAGCTCCACGGGCAACTTCTCTGGCTGCTGTGGAATGTCAAGTGCCTCTTCCCCATGGCACCTCTGCCCAATAGGGCAGCAGGAACTGGGGGCAGTGAGGGGGCAGCAGAGCCAGGGCTGGGAGCCTGACTGGCCCCAGGGTCTGTGTATTGGTATTGCCAGTTTCTAAACTTGGGAGGGGGGAGGGCTGGTGGTCATATGGTGCTGGCTTTGCCTCTGTCTTCCTCTGAGTAGCACTTCAATAAGCTATGGATCGGGAACGTATTTATTGTCGGGGATCAGCTGTCCCTTCCTGGGGTACCCATGAGGACAGCTCACCTCCTGCCCATGCTACCCAATCGTGGCACTTTAGGTTCTTTTGGTATGTTCTCTGTGAATAAGTGTAGACACCCACAGGTGCTGCAGGTATTCATTCACCGGCAGGTGATGGGGATGGAGCCCTCCTGCCTGCAGTGACAGCTGAATGAGCTCCCTGTCCCTGGGGCTGACCCACCATGGAGGGCTCGGCTCCTCCAGGACCCCACAGGCAGTGGGGACGGTCACTTGGAGTTAGTACGGACTCGGTGGTGTTCGCTGTCTGTCCCTTGAGCTTCTGTCCCTGTGGCAGGTACCCAAATGTCAGAGTCTAAAATTAAGCTCCTAATCTTGACCTGGCCTAGATGGGGCCCTGAGGAGCTGCTGTCACTCCTGAAGCAGGGCTGGGAAGGAGCTGCAGGGGAGGCATTTTGGGGCCCCCTGGAAGCTCCGGGGCAGGTGCCTGTGCCATTCCCAGTCTGGGGTTGCTGATAGACCTGACAGAGGTGGCAGCTTCTGTCACAATGGCACTGATGGCTTTAGCAGCCTCTGCAGCAGGAGGGTCAGCACCTGTGTCCTGCTGTGCCCCAGCTTCATCCAAAACCCCTGTACTCAGGTTTTCTGTCATGAAATTAGGGGTTCCTTCCTGTGTGTGCACACAGGCTCCACATCCTGCTCTGTCCAGTCACACAGCAAAGGAACAGCCTCTCTTCCTCCCCCAACTGTGAACTCTCCACCCGTGGCTCGGTGCAGCAGCGAGCAAGGCACTGAGGTGCTGTTTGTACTGAGTTTTGCTCTTCACTCTGGCATTGAATAAATACTCTGCTAAAGCATCTCTGCAACGTGAGCTTGTTTTTCCAAGTAGTGCTCTGCTGAGCCAGAGCTGAGGCCAGGACTGTCACAGGGCTGGGCTGGAGCACTGCAGGAGCTGCTGCCCAGCCTGTGGGAAGTGTGGGCAGAGAGCTGTGAGCAACAGGAGCGAGGCAGGGGATGGCCCAAGGGCAGCAAAGGTCCATGGTAGCCAGGCTGAACACTGCAGGTTCCAGGACAGGCCAGGGGCTAGATCCCTCCTGGATTTATGTTTTCCAAGCACTAACAGGCACAGAATGGGTAAACAGAGAGCCTTCCAATGCTGTTTGGCATTCCTGTGCCACAGCAGCCTCCTGAGCTGCAATGCCACTGTCCCCTCATTGCCCTTTGCATCTCCCTGGTGCAGCAGCTGCTGTGGTGTGAAGGGGCATCTGGGGGCTTCCCAGAGGGGACAGGTGCCCAGGTCATTCCTTGTGTTTGTCTCTTCCATACACAGTGAGTAGAGGTGACCAGGCTGCTGCCCCCACGTGGGTTTAGTCCCTGGGCTGGTGCTGCAGCATGGAAGGGGCAGGAACAGGCATCCTGCAGGCACTGGGCTCCCAACAGTGGTGAGGGAAAAGCAGCCTGTTCTGGAGGAGCTCAGAGCTGTTACAACCCAGGAACAGGACTGCTGGATTTGCCTCAGCAGCAGAAGCACTGGAACCACTGGCCCAGCCCTGCTGCACTGGTTCCCACTGGCCTTTGGCCCAGTGGAGCTCCAGCAGCCAGACTCCAGCTCCTTCCCTTCCCGTCCCATTGCAGATCCCCCTGTTCCCTCCTTGTCTGGGAATCCTCCTGCAGGGACGCAGGAGATGGGGAGAGTTCCCAGCACTGAAATAATCCCCCAGCACAGAAACCCCCTACCCTGACACAATCCTCCTCCATGCTGTGCCCAGGATCCCCTGGCTCACACACAGCAATGCTGTTCAAACAGCTTTTATTAGTGGTTCTGACCATACTACACCCTCAAGAAAAACAAAACCTAGTTCACAGTGTTGAGATGGTGTAGTCAAAATTAAAAAAAAACCACAAAAATCCAGCGGTGGCTTGTGTCCAGTGTTTGTGCATGTGCCCCCAGGCTGGCAGAGCTGTCTGCAGCACATGGGCACAACTCCTGCTGCCAGCTCCAGAGCTGCTGAGAGCCAAAAAAGGCCCGGCAGCATCAGCAGTACCAGGAGGGTGGGGAGGAAAGGGCTCCCAGCAAGAGGGGCTGCCAGGCCGTGTTCCCATGGCCTGAAGAGCTCAGCCTGAGCTTTGCTGCAGCACTGACTCTCCCACAGACCTTCCAAACGTGCTGGGGCAGGAGCACCAGTTCCCACCCTGAAAGCAGCCCAGACCCCCCAGCCCCAGTGAGGCAGTGTCTCCACAGCCCCTCCTGGCACTGCAGAGCCCCCAGCCGCGCTGAGGCAGCACCCCGTGAGCAGACAGTCTGATCAACACACAACAAGCTCCCCCCACAGAACACTCAACTCCCAGCAATTCTGTGAGCAGAGCTGACTCTCCTGTCCCTTCCCAGGCTTTTCCAAGCATCCCTGGGGAGCTGCTGTAGATGGGAGCAGGGCTCTGCTAGCCTGGATTTCCTCATAAGGCACAGGGTGAGAGCAGCAATACAGGGCTTGATCTGTCCCTTGGGAAAGGCTGGAGGGGACTTCACAAAGGGAGGGGTCCTGTCACCCCTCTCCCACCTCAGGCTGTGCTGTCACCAGCTTCTGTCCCCCTCCCCCAGCAGCAGGGGCTGGCTCTGTCCCCAGACCCTGCACACACACGTGAGAGGTTGCATGCACCGATTCCAAAGGGGGCTCCCAGGTCACCCCAGCACCTGTCTGGAGAGCACCTGGCCAGCACAGCAGCCCTGGGTGCAAGAGGTTCAGCTTGGGCCGAGGTGCAGCTCAGCCAGCAGGGCACTGGGCACCCCTGAGCTCCTGGTTCCATGCTCACTGCTCCAAGGTCAGGAAGGCTGGAGGCCCCTGAGCTCCTGGACAGCAGCAGGGACATTCCACACAGCCCCAGGGATAGGTCAGGGCTGTGCCAGCACATGGGGGGACAGCCAGACTTTGCAGGGCTCCCTGCCAGGGCAGAGCCTGATGGTGTTCTGGACCCCTCAGGGTGGCTGTGCCAGAGCCAAGGTGTGAGCAGACCACAAGCCTGGCAGGCTCTGCAGCCATCAGACCCGGGCTGGGCACCTGGCAGGAGCTGCTGGCAGTGGAGGGCCAATCCCTGGCAGCCACTGAGGAGGGTGACCCATTCCAGCCTCACTGCCTGAGGAGCAGCACAAGAGCCAGCCAGGGCCCCTGATCAATGCAGGGTGCTCACAGCTCGTTCCTGTCACCCACACATCTCCTGTGGCACATTCAACCACTGACAGGGGTGTGAGAAGCCCAGGGAAAGGAGGCAACAAAGCTTCGAGTTCACCCTGGATCAGGGCCCATCCAGAGCTACTCATGGCCACAACAAAGCTGTAGAGGGCACTATGCAGGGATGTGGCAGCCAGTTCTTCCCCACTTACATTGAGACCTTCTCATGGTTGCTGAACCTGTGCTGTCCAAAGGAAAGGAACCCAGGGACAGAAAGGGGACAGCATGCTTCACTTCTCCAGCCCCCAGATCCTACCCAGGTGGCTGCAGGTTCAACATGGGGCCAAGTGGAGGAAGAGCTCCAAGGTGCTGCCACCTGGAACCAGGTGCCCCATGACTCCTGAGCTCAGGGATGGGGAGGAACAGTGAGGGAGATCTGCTGCTGGTGACTGCAGGCGCTGTGAGAGTGCAGGGGCTGGCCAGCAGTGCCCCCTGCATGGGCACACAGTACACATCCCATGGCCAAGGCTGCAGTGCCCAGACAGACACGGCAGTGCAGCTGCAGATGGACGTGGAGCTCAACAGCAGCAGGAGCCTGAGGAAGGCTGGTGGTGCTGTCACACCATGGAAACAAAGCCAGTTCTCTGTGTCTTTGCCTATGAGCAAAGACAGCTCCCAGCACAGCACCCATCCCACCCAGTGCTGCTCAGCACACAGGGCAGAGAGGGGCAGGGCTTGGAGATTTCAGGGTGCACACCGAGCTCTGTGCCACCCTCCTCTCCTGCCACAGGAGGGACAATCTCCACAGCAGATTCATTTCTTCACCACAGGCATCCCTGGTGCTGCCCCCATTCCACACTGGTCCCTCCTGGGCAACAGCACCTCCTGCCCCATTCCACACTCCAGCACACACCCAGCAAGGGCTGGACTAAGGGCTCCCCTGCCCTGCAGTTGGGCTCAGCACCCTCCTAACACACCAACGGCATCAAACCAGTCTGTGTCTCTCTTGCCCAGCTGGTACTGCAGCTGTCACACACCCTCCTTGTCTCCCGGGGTGTGGAGCAACCAGCAGTGCACAGCCATGGCACCCCACAACTTCCAGGAACATGGAGATCTCAGAGGGAAATCCTAGACAGCTGAGCCAAAATCCACAGGAGGTGGAGCTCGGGCAGGGCAAACCGCTGTTTTACTAGAGAGCTGTGGATGTCGGCTAAACTGGTAGAGCAAGAGCTGCACTGGTTTCCACTGGAGTCCAGACAGCAGCAGTTCAGACATCCAAGTCCCTGCAGGGAATCTTCCATATTCCACAGCCTGCCAGTGTCCACCCAATCCTCTCTTCAGGAAAGAGAGCTCCCATCAGACACCTCATTTCCACTTAGAGCAAAGGTCCCTTTCCAGGAAGGGCTTTTTCCCCCTCTGTGCCCCCTCTTGCTCTCAGACCCGCCTGAAGTGCAGCACAAGCAGGAGATGCCCTGGGCAGTGCTGGCTCCATGCTCACTGCTCCAAGTCAGCAGGGTTAGAGGCCCGTGAGATCAACGATGGCTTTAATAAAGATGGCATCATCACGCACGTAGGAGTTCTTGGCTTCCATGACGGACACGGGGCAGAAGAGGGGGCAGCCGCTGGCGATGTTCATCTCCGTGACGGGGCGCTGGAAGGACGAGGACGTCACGTCGGGGCGGAAGGCATCGATGATGTGCTCCCGGTTATTCTGGTCCAGAAGCATCAGGGTGACCTGTGAGGAAGGGTGAAAGCACAGGGGAGTGGCTGAATAAAAGACACATGGAAGCCCAGCCCAGTGACCTGCATGCAGGTACCAGCAGCCACAGCCACCCTGTGCACCTGCAAATCAGAGAAATGCCTCTGAGTGGGACCAGCAGAGAACATCACCTCAGGAATGTCCTGTAGAAACCCTCCCCATCCCCACATCCTGCCTATCGCTGGAAACTTCCCTGTGGCAGCACAAGTCTGTCAGACTGACTGAAATCCTACACTCTGCTCTCAGAACTGACACTGCACTCAGGTATTTCCCTGAGCCAGGGCTGTTGTCCTCTCTGCATCTGCTTGTGCCCGCTCACTCCGCCTCCATGTGTTCCACAAACCAGCAGTGCCCAAGAGCTGGGATCTGAGCTCCTGACAGGGAATGAGCACCCACTGTCCCCAAGCTCTGAGGCCACCACAACCTTCCCTTGCTCCCAACCCTTGCAGCAGAGGCTCTGTGCAATTCCCAACAGCCCACGTCACCCCCTTGCCTCACAGCACAGCCAGTGCTCTCAGCACACCTGGGGAACCCCCAGGGCAGTCAATACTGCCTTGCCAAGCGGCCCGGAGTGACAGTGCTGAGAAACTCGAGTGGGTGCTGAACCAGAGAGGCCATGGACGGGCACAGTGGGCTCTGCTCCAGACCCACCTTCTGGTTAAAGGGCCACCGCAGCAGCGCATCGTTAGGTCCCTTCATCACCACAAAAAACAGGGACAGGTGGGTGCCACGGCCGGTGCCGTCCCCATTCAGGTACACGCGCAGACACATCTTGTAGCCATACTTGCTGGTGTAGAAAGCTGTTAGAGAAGAGTGGAACAGGCACAGTGAGGGCCCAATGCAGCACAGCCTAGCAACAGCAGATCTCTGAAATCTGAGGGCTCTGAAGTTTGGAATCTGGGAGAAGCCAGGTCTGGGCTGCACCAGAGGTGGTCTGGAAAGCCCAAGGCCAGAAGTGCAGCCCCTGGCCTGAGCAGATGCTGCGCACAGAGCAGCCACCAGTCCCCTGGCTATTCCCTCACTGCCAGGGGGATTCTGCCCCAGAGTTGGGCCAATCTTCCTGCACCTCAGGGCTGAAGGAGCTGTGGTTCATGGCAGCAACACTGGTGAGCAGGAACAAATCCCCCATAAAGCACCTGGCTGGGAGCACAGCACTCTCAGCAGCCCACTGTGAGCTGATGCCTCTGATCTGGGCAGGGGCTCAAGCAAGTGAACTTTAATTCTCATTTGGATTCCCACAGCATGGCTTGGGCATGGCCAGGATGGGATTTCAGGCACTTTCCTTCCCCAGCAGTCCTGGGAATGCCTGTATTGTGACACTAGACCTGTGTGGGGTCACAGCTTGGAAGGGGACCTGCCACAAGTCACCCTCCCACAGCGGCACAGAGCACATCTGGGACAGGCTGGGCAAGGCTCAGTGAGCACAGGCAGAGATCAGGGGTCACAGCCAATATTTTACTGCAGGACTTGGTGCTTCTCTCAACAGGCAGACTATGAATAGCAGAGACACTGTGCTCTTCCACAGGGTGAGGAGCAAGAGATCGGATCTTTGTCACTGCATCCCTCTTGGAAATGCCCAGCTCATTTCTTCTGCTCCTTCCTCTCCACCTGCTTTACCCAAAGGCTCTCAGGACAGATGACCCCTTTGTTAGTCCAAGGAGAATATCCCCACTGGGCCCTCTGGGCCTTCTCAGCACTCTCATCACTCTTTGAATGTAAAACCCATCGAGGAACAGAAGGAAAGATGGCTCCAGAGTGGTGGGAGCAGCCAGGGAGAGGGACCATGCAGCTGGGCATCCTGCTCTCTCTGGCCCAGGTGAGGAGCAGAGCAAGAAGCCAGTAAGGCCCTCCCCTTCCCCCCTCAAGACTGATGGCCTTCACCCTGGCTTGTCCTGGGTCAGGCCCTGAATGAACCTTCCTTGAACAACTTGCTGTTTTTAGCTCAAGATTTTGCCCTCTGCCAAACCCCGTGGCACTCTGTCCTCACAACACTGCAAGCAGTATCTCCACTTCCTTTTCTTTAACACTGCTGTCAGCTGGTATTTCCTTGCCTTTACATTTAATGCAAACCAAACAATTACAGCCAATTTCCTTTCTCATCCCATCCACAGCCTGCATCTCTCTCCTCTCAGCCCTCTCTTCCCTCTTGGAACAGCACTGCTCTGCATGCTTCACTCTCCAAGATAAAACACTCCCTTCCACATGGAATATTTCTTTTCTCAGCCTGGCAGCATTTCCCAAGCAAAGGTCCTGCCATGAGACCCACACACAGCTGAAATGCAAGAGATTTTGGGGACTTTGCGCACCTGGAGAGAAGATGGCAGGCGAGCGACCCGTTATCGCCTCCTGACGCTTCCGCGCAAACTCCGTTATCTTCCAGATGAAAACCCCATCGTAGGTGGAAGCCTCCATGTTGCGGATCTTCTCCTCCATCTCAGCCATGGCCAGGTCTTTAAGCCCAATGCTCCTCTCCAGCTGCCGGACCTGCTCAGTGGGACACGTGGTGCAGGTGAGAAACACGCAGGCCCTGGGGCCTGCGAGAGACCCCGGCAGCCCCTTGGGTTTTGGAGAGACCTCCAAAATGGACAGGGAGCAGGGAGGGAGAAACTGAGCAACATAAGCCAATTCACTGAAGCTTCCTTCTCTGGAGAAGATCCATCAAAACAGCTTAGTGCTTGAGCTGGGAACTTTCCTGTAGACAATGTAAAACTCCTTCCAAGGAGCTGCTCCATTGGCTGAGCAGCACAAGAAGTGTGAATGGGGAAAAAATCCCCAATAACTCAGCATTGTGACAAACTAAATTGAGAAAGAAAAGAACCTACACCCTCTGGAGGGTTTGTCCCTGCCAGCTCACACAGGATCACAGCAGATCAGTTGCCCAGAGAGCACAGGTGCGCTGCAAACTGCACAGCTCCAGGTGCCAGGAACACCAGGAGCCCTCCACAAGAGACTGTGCTGGAGCAGACTGGTGGAGGCAGCTCCTTCACACCTCCAGCCTGTCGCTGCAGGCAGCAGCACTGATGGCACTCCTCTGGCAAAGGCAGCACTCATTTGGAAAAGTCTGGAAGGTGAGCAGCCCCACAGATTCAGTGAGATGCAGCACAAGGAGATGCAGTGAAATTCTGGGTGCTCTGGCTCTTGTCAGAAAACTGTGCTGAGGAAGAACCCCTCAGTATCTCACTCAGTTTGATAATTAACAGAGGTCTGATGCTTTAGACAGGTCAGTTAAATTCCCAGCTTTTACAGGGAGCTGCTGAGGGTTGGGCACAGGCACACAGGGTATTTTAGTTCTGCCTTCAGATTTGTGGAGTTTCAGGACCAAGTGGTGAAGCTTTGCTAGCTCATGACACAGAAAGGAAACAGGAAACAACGTCTGCTGGGAGTGTGGGAACCCAGGTGAGCAGTACACACCTTGTTGCTCAGCGTTTCGATTTTCTCCTGGTCCAGCCGGTGCTGGCGACTGTAGGCCTCAGCTGTCAGGGACACTCTCTCCACCTCCCGGTTAAGCACACAGACAATGTTCTCAAAGGTAGCTGTTTTCCTCTCAAGGGCCTCACACCTTCCCAAGAGCTCTAGGGACCGGGAGAGCTCCGACTCCGAGCACAGTGAGTTTGCTCCCAGAAGTGGGGAACTGTTTTGTGATGAGGAAGGGACAGGAAGGGGCTTCAGGTCCCCAGCACCAGTCTTGAGGCTGAGCACAGAGCTCAGAAGCATGTAGAGATGCTCTGCCAAACACTTCCTTTCGTGTTCTGGGAGCATTTCATTTTCCACCTACATGAAGAGAAATACATCCCCCATTCAGCATGTGCAATCTACACTGTCACCAACCACAGAACAAATTCCTCCTATCCAGGTTGTCTCTGTCCCTCTGGGAGCCTCTCAGGATCCCCGGCCAGTCCCGAGCCCCAGACACCGGGGCAGCCCCGGCACGGCCGACAGCAGGGAGACATTGCCTGTGCCCTGAGGGTGCTGAGGGGAGACACTGCCTGTGCCCCGAGGGTGCTGAGGGGAGACACTGCCTGTGCCCCGAGGGTGCTGAGGGGAGACACTGCCTGTGCCCTGAGGGGAGACACTGTCTGTGCCCCGAGGGTGCTGAGGGGAGACACTGTCTGTGCCCCGAGGGTGCTGAGGGGAGACACTGTCTGTGCCCTGAGGGGAGACACTGTCTGTGCCCTGAGGGTGCTGAGGGGAGACACTGTCTGTGCCCCGAGGG